CTAGGCAAGCCAAACCTTTAATCTAAATACTTCATTAACCAATTATTTCTTTTGAACAATTATAAGGCGATAACGTGATAACAACGGAAATTCAAATTTAAGCGGAAGACAACAATAAAATGAAATATCTGGAATCTATGTCTATTACAATTACTCAAGCCTTAACCACCCAAAACCTGGTGTCACAGTGTCACAGACAGTCAAAGATTCACTACACACAAAGTCTGAAGAAATAACAGTACACTGTTTCTGAAATAAGGAAAATGAAACAGGGAATAGAAGATAGAGCAGACGCCAGGGCCTGCGGACGCCTGCAGGTCTACCTTGGATCTCCGCGTGAACTTAATATAGCCTCCACACTACGGTCCAAAAGCTGCTCCGGGATCTGCACATAGTGCAGAGTGTAGTACCAGCACAACCGACCCCATGTGCTGGTAAGTGTCTAGCCTAACCTCGGTGAGGTAGTGACGAGGCTAGACCAGACTACCACATAAATCTGTGTAGTTCAAATATATATATATATATATATATATATATATATATATATATATATATATATATATATATATATATATATATATATATACAGCGGAAAAGCGACACAGAAATAACCAGTCAAAATGGGAGGGGGAGCATGCTGTGGGGGAGATAGCAATTCCAAATAGAAAGACATTAAATAAACGAAAGAAATAACATAACTCAGATATCAACAAGAAACAAAATTCAACAAATGCACGGCATCACCCTTCGTGCTTTTACTCTCGTCTCGTCCTCACCAAAGGAATGATATAATAGAAGTGTACACGGCATCACCCTTCGTGCTTTTACTCTCTTTCCTCACCATATAATCAATAAAATCGGCACGGAATGGTACATCGTGTGGCACGGCATCACCCTTCGTGCTTTACACTCTTTCCTCACAATAATCAATAAAATCGGCACGGAATGGTACATCGTGCGGCACGGCATCACCCTTCGTGCTTTACACTCTTTCCTCACAATACAAACAATGCACGACATCACCCTTCGTGCTTTAACGCTCTTCCTCACCCAAACAACAATCACAAACAATAGGGCAAGGGATAAATGAAATTTTGCAATAAAGATCCCGGCAAGGGAACAACATTTCAACAAATAGATCCCGGCAATGGAACAACATCAATAATATCAACATCCCGACAAGGAGGATAATAAATAAATCAACAATAGCCCGGCAAGGGTGTTAACATGATAACTTCTTTTCTTTCTCACTTTTACTTCACAATTCATTTCATAACTCGAGCCAATGCTCTAGAGATTCTATTATCACTTACACTTTCACAATTCGTTACATAACTTGAGCCAACGCTCCTCATTGTTCATGAGTCACAATTCCTTCCACAAACTTTACACAACATATAGAAACCATCACCAAGGCATGAAAGATACAACGAAGTCATGAAAATCACAATATAAAGACTCACGGGCATGCTAGACACCAACGTATAGATACTCGTCACCATGCCTATACATTGTACTCCACAATTAACACGTAGCAAATAGATACAACTCCTAATCCCTCAAGTTAAGGTTAGACCAAACGCTTACCTCGATGCCACGAACACAACTCACGCTTCAATTATAGCTTTACCCCTCGATTCCACCACCAATTCGTTCGTATCTAGTCACAAGTTACTTAATTACATTAATAAACGCTAAATGAATCAACCCCAATGCATGAAAATGAGTTTTCCAAAGTTTTACCCAAAAAGTCAAAAATCGCCCCCGGGCCCGCATGGTCAGAACCTGATTACCCATTCCCCCACGAACTCAAATATATAATTTGTTTTGAAATCGGACCTCAAATCGAGGTCCAAATCCCTAATTTTTGAAGAAACCTAGATTCTACCAAAACACCCAATTTTCCCCATGAAAATTATCGATTTGAAGTTGAAATCATGTTAAAAGATGTTAAGAATTGAAGAAAGTTAGTTAAAAACGACTTACATTGATTTGGAGAAGAAGAAATCCTTGAAAAATCGCCTAAGTGTTTTTGTGTTTTGAGAGGATATGAAAATGGGTTAAAAATTCGGCTAAGTATAAAAGTTGCAGGTCTCAGATGTGGGAATTGCGAACAGGGGTTCGCAATTGCGAACTCCGACCTCTACTGTTATGGGAAATGCAAAACAGGGCCCGCATTTGCGAACCCATAAGAAATCTGAATTTCTCGCATTTGCGAAAGGAAGGTCGCATTTGCGACTTCCGCATTTGCGACATATAGGCCGCATTTGCGATCGTAGAGGATTTTGGGCGGGGGTCGCATTTGCGGCGGGTACTTCGCATTTGCGAAGAAGGCTGCCCAGGCCACCTCTCGCATTTGCGATGCATGGCTCGCATTTGCGGGCTCGCATTTGCGAGACAGGCTTCGCAAATGCGAAGCCTGCAGGTCTGAAATACACCAGCAATTTTTATTGTTCAAAATGCACCCCGTGGCCTATCTAAAACTCACCCGAGCCCTCAGGGCTCCAAACTAAATATACACACAACCTCAAAAATATCCTACGGACTTATTCGTGCACTCAAATCACTAAAATAACATCATGAACATCGAATTAAATCTCAAGATCAATGAAATTTCTCAAAACTTATTTAAACATCAAATTTGCATTTAAGGTCCGAATCACATCAAACGGATTTCGTTTCTTACCAAACTTCACAGAATTATCTTAAATCATATATAAGACCTGTACCGGGTGCCGGAACCAAAATACGGGCCCGATACCAACATGTTCTAATCAATATTCATTTCCAAAACTTATGAACAATTTCAGAAAATAATTTTCTTTAAAAATCATTTCTCGGGCTTGGGACCTCGGAATTCGATTCCAGGCATACGCCCAAGTTCCATATTTTCCTACGGATCCTTCGGGACCATCAAATCACGGGTCCGGGTCCGTTTACCCAAAACGTTGACCGAAGTCAAATTGATTCATTTTATAGTCAAAAATTATCATTTTTCACAGATTTTCACATATAGGCTTTCAGGCTACGCGCCCGGACTACGCACGCAAATTGAGGTGATGCTAAAAGAGGTTTTTAAGGCCTCAGAAAATAGAATTTAATTTAAAGGCAAGCGATGACCTTTTGGGTCATCACAAGTTAGAATCTAGGGTTTAGGATATGAATTGAAATTTTTGTGTATGAATTGAACTTTTAGGATATGAATTGAACCTTTAGGAATATGAATTGGACTTTTAGTTTATGTATTGAAATTTTAGTTTATACATTGAAATTTTAGGATATGAATTGAACTTTTGTGGATATGAGTTGAACCTTTAGGATATGAATTGAATCTTTAGGATATGAATTGGACTTTTAGTTTATGTATTGGAATTTTAGTTTATAAATTGAATTTTAGGATATGAATTGAACTTTTGTGGATATGAGTTGAACCTTTAGGATATGAATTGAACCTTTAGGATATGAATTGGACTTTTAGTTTATGTATTGGAATTTTAGTTTATAAATTAAAATTTTAGGATATGAATTGAACTTTTGTGGATATGAGTTGAACCTTTAGGATATGAATTGGACTTTTAGTTTATGTATTGGAATTTTAGTTTATAAATTGAAATTTTAGGATATGAATTGAACTTTTGTGGATATAAGTTGAACCTTTAGGATATGAATTGAACCTTTAGGATATGAACTGGACTTTTAATTTATGTATTGGAATTTTAGTTTATAAATTGAAATTTTAGGATATGAATTGAACTTTTGTGGATATGAGTTGAACCTTTAGGATATGAATTGAACCTTTAGGATATGAATTGAAATTTTTGTGTATGAATTGAACTTTTAGGATATGAATTGAACCTTTAGGATATGAATTAAAATTTTTGTGTATGAATTGAGCCTTTAGGATATGAATTGAAATTTTGTGGATATGAATTGAAATTTAGGATTGCGGGAGGATTTTGTAGAAGGGGTTGATGACTTTATTAGACATGCAATGGAACTTCCACCAAGAATAACTTAGATACAGTACCCGGCAGAGTGGGTCTTTAATTGTTGTTCTCATTAGCGACAATGATGAGAAGGCAATGACATGTGTTTCAAACAGTGATGGTGTAGGTAGGAATTTAACATTTCCTAAGCAGATAAAAGAAGAGGTTATAGAGGAATTCTCTACTTCATTTTCCAAGAGGAAAAGAAGTTTAATTGAGAGTGACAAGGTTGATGGTAATGGAAAGTTGTCCGTTGCTCATGGCAGTTCACATAAAACAGGGATCATAAGACTCTGTGATGACAAAGTCGAAAGGAAGTTTTATTCTCAACTTTCTTCCAAGTCTGATCCGTACAAGCCTAATGGGATTGGTGATATTTCTTCGGATTCAGACAATGATTTGAGTGACAAAAGTATGGAAATGCTAATCAAAAGAATTAAAGGTAAAACGTTTTTCTTGGAAGAGAAGGATGCTGAACTCTGCATGAACGTGATATGTGCACTTTATAGGCAACAGATTTCTCCAAACTTCTCTTCCTTAGAGAAGCGTTTTACCTTTAAGAAGAAGTCTTTTCCTCTCCTTTTAATAATATATAGATATAGATAATTAAGGAAGCTAACAAAGTCACATATGATTTAGCTAAGTATGAATTCATGGACTCTTTTGAAAGGCTAAAGTTGTATCACGAATTATCTTTTTGTGTTATTATTTTTTTCCAGACCTCATTTGTGGGAATTTACTTAGCTATTTTTGTTGGTGTTATTGTTGTGTTATCATCTTTTGTATATGATCATTGACCATATTGGGACAACATATTTCTGGAAGATTAGACTAAATAATATATTTATTTTTCATATATAAATCCTTATAACTAAAAAGAAGAACACTAATAAAATAAGTTCAAAAAATAGCAGGACGAATATATCAAACAAGACTAGAGAGGAAAATACAAATAACTTATATGCACCTGCCCATATAAAATCAAATACGTTGGGGCAAATATGATGTAATTTGAAAATTGTAATGTTTGAAGCTTTGTTTAGAAAAAAGAATAGTCATTAGGAAAAAAGAAAAAGAGAAAAGGAGTGTAACATTACAGAAAAAGAAGAAAAAAAAGAGAGAGAACATTACGTCTACGAGAAAGTTATTATAGAGAATATATAAAAAGAAAAATTCAAATTCTTAGGCTTTAATCATTCTTTTCTGCAGATCCTCTTTGGTAATTCTCGATCTCATTCTGTTCTTCAATTTCCTCTCTTTCGATCATTTCTTTTTCTAATTGAGTTGTAATTTTCTTTTGACAATTCCTAGTTTATTGGCTAAAACTAAGGTTTCGATTTGTGATTTTCCATAATTCAGCTTGAAGGTAATATATTTGTGAAATTTTAACCTCCTGAATATATTGCTAAAACTAGGGTTTCTGTTTGTGATTCTCCGAAATTCAGTAAAAAGATGATATCTTTATGAAAATTTATCCTCTTTATGCTTGTAATTTTCCATAATTTGGCCTAAAAATGACGCTTTTATGAATATTTATGTTCTTTTATGTTTCTGCAATCATTTGATTTCGCTAGAACGCGTGGTTCATCTTGTGTTCATAATTTATATTCATGAACTAGATTTCTGTTGAAATTTGTTTGAATTATTTTTGTGATCAAGACCTTAGGGATTAAAGCTTGTATATGTTAAGCCTGTTCTTCAGCCAAAAAAAATCTGTTGAAATTTAGGATTCACAAGGGACTGCAATGTAATTAAGCAGATGCTTGGTTTCACTCGAAATTTTCTATTGGAATGAATCTAATATTGTATAGGCCATGTCTGTTTTTGTGATTGATTTGCCTGGATTTAAAGCTATTGTAGGATTTGTTAAGCGTGCGCAAAAGGAATTAGCTTGAGGTATTCAGAGCAATGCACAACATAAAGTGAAAGGTTCACGTTAAGCACTTGGAGAACTTTTAGAAGACAAGTTATTTGCTCCTTGAATTCCATTTCTCAATTTCTGGAATTTTATATTATTAACCCCTTTGCCGAATGATTACCGCTCATGCCTGTTGGGAGTGGTCATGAATCTAGAACAATAGCTTTGTGCATGGAATTAGGTGATCCGAATGCAAATGTGTTATAAGAGGCATGAGTGAGTATGCTGTATCTTCTCCGGCACCAATTACATATTTCTTTTGAGGCAGTTTCCATGTTTTGTACTAGACTGTCGTCAATAGCTTAGTTTTGCTTATGTGAGTTTATGTTGCTTGTCCAGATATATAATTCCATTCTGCATCTTACTTATTGTCCATCATCTTCTTCTGTGTTTTTGACACGTTTTTATGATTTTCTGATTAGGTTGTTCTGAAGGCTAATTTTTTAAACACTTGGATGGGTGCTCCTAAACAGAAGTGGACTCCAGAAGAAGAAGCTGCTCTTAAAGCTGGGGTCCGTAAGCATGGACCAGGCAAATGGCGAACGATCCTAAAGGACCCAGAATTTAGCGGAGTGTTGCGCTTGCGTTCAAATGTAGATCTAAAGGTAGAATTTCCCTCCTTTTCTTTTAGGATAAAATTCTCTTTTGGTGAGAGGAAGCTCTAGTGTCATTTGAGTCGATGAAGGTTACATAACTTAATTTTTTCTTTTAGCTATTTATTTATGCATGAAATGTTAATTTGTCTTTGTTGACGCTGTTCAGGACAAGTGGAGGAACATGAGTGTGATGGCAAATGGCTGGGGTTCTAGAGAGAAAGCAAGGCTGGCTCTCAAAAGAATGAATCAAACTCGTAAACAGGATGAGTCTTTAGTTGTTACCATTGAGTCTCAAAGTGATGAGGAAATTGTTGAAGCAAGGCTGGCGACTACTTCTAGTGGTTCTCCACAGATTGGTGGGTCAAAAAGATCTATCATAAGGTCAAACCTTGCTCATTACCTGTTACACCATGACTTAGATCGTAGCCTTCTACATTTGCTTGTGCTAACGGATTTAGTCAATCTTGGCTTTCTGCATGATCTCAAATTTTGGTAGTTTTAATTACTTTCACATTCTACACATATTATGTCCAAGTAACAATTTTTGTTTAGTTTAAAGCATTCCGACGATGGTAGATGGCTAAAAGTTGTCCTAGCCTTTTCATAAGTTTGTTAAGTTCCATTTTTTGGGTCTTATTTTTCTTGCTGGAAGGACGACATCTTTAAGTAGTGCTGCTTTGCTACTATTATAGGTTGGATAATCTTATAATGGAGGCTATAAGCAACTTGAAGGAGCCAGGTGGTTCCAACAAGACTACTATAGCTACATACATAGAGGTACTCATCTTCTTGTGAGCTTAATGTGCCAAAAGTAAGACACTCGCATGATGAGCTATTAGCTAAGCGATAAAAGGCACTCGGGCTATGGTGTGATTAACCACATTTGTATGTTTCGGAATTTAGAACAGTATTGCTTAGTTATAATGCACAATCCTCTTACTTAGGGCGTCTAACATGTTTTGGAATTTTGAAATCTTGCTTGTTGTGCAACCAATAACGTTCTGAATGGTGTTTGCGATTTGCGTTTCTTAGTGCTTACTAATTCAAGTATGAGCTTTTCTGGAAACTCATTAATTATAGTATTTGGTTTTTTCCATGTGCAGTCGTTTATTCTTTATGTGTGGCGTAACACAAGTTTTTTAAGCATCTGACTATTGGCACTCGCAACAGTAGATCAACTGCATAGAATTGTACGGGTCTAATTTTGTCTAATAATTTTAAAGTATAGATGGGTCGTGGTTTAGCATCCTGTTTAGTATGAACTGAATGTTACCTTCTATGATTGTAACACTAATCTGATGGTTCTATATTAACAATTTTTTCCTCTGTGTTTGATCTTACTTCTCTACGTTAAGAGATGGGCTCCAACGTAAGGCGCCATGTGATTAACTTTAGATAACGCATAACTGTCAACTTCCATGAAATCTCAATTCCTAGCAAAAGTTATAAATTATCGCGACATCTATCATTCTATTATACTCAGTACTTTTGATATCTTGTAGGATCAATACTGGGCACCTCCAAACTTTAAAAGGCTACTTTCGGCGAAACTGAAGTATTTAACTGCAACTGGGAGACTTATCAAGGTGATATTCAGTTTTGCATCACACTTAAATTGTTGTTTATCTTGCCCTTAGCTTAGACTGTGAAGCCAGTATGAACTCGTGGATTCAAATTCATGAATGATGATCAGTAGTTCGATTCATTCTGATTATGATAGTAAAGATATTTTTTTTGCAGGTGAAGCGGAAGTATAGAATAGCACTGATGTCAGCATTATCTGATAGAAGAAGAATGCCTTCCATTCCTCTCTTGGAAAGCGCGCAGAGGATCTCGAATAGGGTTGATCGGGATGATATGAACATGCGCACTACTAAGGCTCAAGTAGATTTAGAGTTAGCTACGATGAGGAGTATGACACTTCAAGAGGCAGCAGCAGCTGCTGCACAAGCTGTCGCAGAAGCAGAAGCAGCCATCGAAGAAGCTGAGGAGGCTGCTAGAGTGGCTGAGGCTGCTGAGGCTGAAGCCGAAGCTGCACAAGCCTTTGCAAAAGCTGCAATGAGAACACTACAAGGGAGAAGCATTCCAAGGATGGTACGATATATATAGTATCAGTTCAGTTACTTGTTTTTTCTTGATTGCATCTACCATTCCCCCCAGTCCCCCTTTCTTTTCTTTCTTTTCCTCGTAGGTGAGAGAATTTATCCTTTATCCTTTGGTGTTATTTTAGTCAATGTCTAGGATCACTGCTTGAGACCCCTCAATGAACTTGTATTAACTTTTTGTATCCTTTGGTTGATCTTCTGCTTTACGACTATGATATTTCTCTAATCTAATTAATAGAAGTTGCTGCCGAATTCTCTCTATTTTAGACAAAACATTTAGTTGATCTCTGCAGAACAACTAGGAATCTGGGACTATCTTACTACAAGAAATGGTGTTATATTCCCCAGGACTATGACCCCAGTTTCTTAATCAATGCATTTTGATAATGTAAAATCTATTAAATCTTAACTAGTCTGTAGTTGAGAGCTTCTGCACCTAGTCAAACCTGTATATTAATGAAGAATTAGGAAGCTACAGGCATATATAAACAGTGAATTGTTTTGTCCTTATTTTTCATGAGAGATGCTTGGAACTAATGAATGTGTATGCACTTTGTGGAGTTTTTTGAATCTTTTGTGGAAGAGAGAGAGCGCATTCCTTCTTTTGCCATATGAGATCGATATTGGATTCCTTATCTTGTTCTCTCTTTTTTTTTCTTTTTTTTTTAAATCCATAATTTTCGCAAGGTAGTCGTCTCCATGCAAAAAATGTTATATTCTTGCTAATATGTTAGGACATTATCACTAAGAATCCCCTATCCTGCTCTTACTGTTTCTGTCTCTGTAAATGTGCAGATGATACATGCTTGATGGATCTTCCAGAGTTGAAGCTCGATATTTTGCTGGATTCTCTTCCAGTTTCTTATTTTTCAAATCGTAGCCAACTCGCTTGTTGGCTTGTAAATATGGTAAAAAAAAATTGTGGAAATGTATAATCCAGTGTTAGTGATAGTAAAGCCTTTCGAAAATGTAGCATATTTTGTTAAGAGAGGCATAGCCATTGAAGAAACAGAGAGAACAGAGAAAGGAAGAAGAAAGTAATAGAGCAGAGTTTGGAAAATATCGAATATGTTTCTTCATGTACTGTACATGTATATATATACATACATCACTTAACCACTAACTACCTAATAATATATTAGTTGTTGACAGCTGTACATGTGGCCCACTAACTTCTAACATCCTAACTAACCTGTACACTATGCATTCTTCTCAATACTCCCCCTCAAGCTGAGGGATGGAAGAGGTTCTTCATTCCCAGCTTGCTAATCAAATACTCATGTTGTAGTTTGCATAGACTCTTGGTAAGCAGGTCAGCAGGTTGTTCCTTAGTCCCTATGTGTTGAGTCTGAATTTCACCACTCTGAATTTTCTCCCTTACAAAGTGACATCGATGTCAAAGTGTTTTGTTCTTTCATGGAATATGGGATGTGCTGCAATCTGTATAGCAGCTTTGCTATCACAGAACAACTGCACAGGGTTGTTCACTACAACTCCTAGCTTTCCAAACAAACCAACTAGCCAAGTGACTTCAGCAACAATAGTTGCCACGCTCCTGAATTCTGATTCTGCAGAGCTCCTGGAAACTGTGCTTTGTTTCTTGGACTTCCAAGAGATTAAAGCTTCACCAAACTTAGCTATATAACCAGTAATAGACTTCCTTGTTTCCACACATGAACCCCAGTCTGAATCACAGTAGGCAACTAGTTCCTTGTTACCTTTTGCTGGCAAAAACAGTCCCAATCCTACAGTACCCTTGATATACTTGACCACTCGTACAGTTGCTTCCATATGTGACTGCTTAGGAGCATGTATGTGTTGACTCGGTACTTGAACAACAAAGGCAATGTCTGGCCTTGTCATTGTCAAGTACAACAGTCTACCAACCAGTCTTTGATAGCTCCCTAGGTCCTCAAGTTGTGCATCTGTAGAGGCTTCCCCTTTGTTTATGAATTCATCAAATGCTACTGAGGTGAGTTTATGATTGAACTCAAGAGGTATAGCAACAGGCTTTCCACCAGCCAATCCCAGCTCAAACACTAGCTCAAGAGCATATTTCCTTTTATTCATAAAAATTCCTTCTTTAGATCTGGAGAACTCAATTCCCAGAAAGAATTTTAATTCTCCCAAGTCCTTCATTTTGAACTTAGCTTGCAAGTCTGTCCTCACTTGATGAATAAGCTCCACATTGTTCCCAGTAACCAACAGGTCATCAACATAAACTAAGATTACTATCAGATCACCACCTACCCTTTGTGTGAAAAGAGAGTAATCATAATGAGACTGGACAAATCCCATGTCCTTGAGAGCAGAAGTCAACTTCAGGTTCTACTGTCTAGGAGCCTGCTTGAGTCCATACAAGTACTTATGCAATCTGCATACTTTCTGATGACACTCCCCCTGGCTGGCAAAGCCATCTGGAATCTGCATATAGACCTCCTCAAGAAAGATTCCTTGAAGAAATGCATTGTGCACATCCATTTGAAAAATAAACCAATCAGATGCTGCAGCCAAAGCCACCACAAATCTCACTGTCACCATCTTGGCCACATGAGAGAAAGTCTCTTTGTAATCCAACCCTTCAAGCTGACTATACCCCTTAGCAACTAGGCGAGCCTTATACCTCTCCACCTCCCCAGTGGACTTATATTTGACTTTGAACACCCACTTACAGCCAATAGAAGTCTTGCCAGGAGGCAGATCAACAATGGACCAGGTCTGATTTTCCTCAAGAGCAGCAATCCCAGCCTGCATGGCTTCTATCCACTAAGGATCAATGCTTGCCTCAGCATGGGAAGTAGGCTCAGACACAGCTGAGTATGCAGCAATACAAGCCTGATAGGCAGGAGACAGCTTGTCATAACAAACATACTGGAAAATGGAATAATTGCAGACTGCTCCTTTGGAGGGTACAACATAGTCTTTTAACCATATAGGAGGAACAGAGGTCCTAGATGAATTCCTAATATGAGGTGGAGCAGCAATAGGAGAAGGACTGGATAGTGGAAGAAGATCAGAAGGTAGCTGAGTAGAATCAACTGATGGACTTGAAACAGAAGAAGGAGACTCAGCTGTAGGAGTTCTAGGAGAAGGAATGTACTGAGGAGAAGAACAATCAGCTTCTAACAGATTCAAAATGGGAAATAAAGGGGAAGAACCAGATATGTTATGCTTAAAAGGAAAGACATCCTCCTTAAAGACAGTTGCCTTGCTTACAAAGAATAGTTTTAAGTGAAGACCATCTAGAATGTATCCCTTTTGCACAGAAGAATAGCCAAGATGGACAGCAGGAATGGCTCTGGGGCTAAATTTATCTGTTTTGCTAGTAGAAGTGGCATAGCATAGACTGCCAAAGACTCTCAAGTGTTGGAGAGATGGGACCTTGCCATAGAGTTTCTCAAATGGAGATGCTCCTTTCAACAAGACAGTAGGCAATCTATTCAAAAGATAGACTGCTGTAGAAACACGTTCACCCTAGAACTGGAGTGGAACAATTGCTTGAAACCTCAAAGCTCTTGCCATGTTAAGAATAATCCTGTGTTTTCTCTCAATTTTACCATTCTGCTGAGGTGTGTAGAACAGAAACTCTGATGAATAATTCCATGCAACAACAAGAGACTAGTTACCTGCTCATTGAAGAACTCAGTACCATTTTCAGACCTGAGACACTTAACCTTGTTATCTAATTAAGTCTGAACTAGTGGTAAAAACATTTTCAACACAACAACAGATTATGCTTTTGTGTTCATTAAGAAGAGCCATGTGTACTTAGAGAAATCATCTACCGATGTCATAAAGTATCTTTACCATCATGAGTTGGAACCCTCTATGGACCCCAAACATCAGCATGCACAAGTTCAAAAGGAAGAGTAGAACAAGAAATGCTATGAGGAAATGGCAGTCTAGATTACTTAGCAATAGGACACACTGTACAATGATAGTCTTGCATAGGAATGTGAGGTAAACTACTAATTTTTTGTAGAACTTTCATAGGTGCATGTCCTAATCTCTTGTGCCACAAAGACACAATACAATTCTTAGTAGACTTAGGAGGGACTGTCTTATTGAGACTAGAGATAGTATTTATAGAAGATGCTAGATTGTTAATGGGCTTTGCATTCTGCTGCTGCACTGAGTCTTCAGGCAAATTTAACTTCAGGATGTAGAGTCCACATTCTTCTTTACCAATCCCCATTACCTTCCCACTCAAGAGATCCTGAAAAAGACAGAAATCAGGAAAGAATGCAACAAGACATCTTAACTCCTTTGTAAGCTTTGAGACTGAAAGCAAGTTGTATTTGAAGTTTGGAATGTATAATACATTCTGTAATGATTTAGTTCTGAAGATTGTAGAAACTCCAGTGTGATTGGTAGCAATCTGCTCACCATTAGGAAGATGAACCTTGTTATGGTCTATACTAGTCAGATCTTTGATTTCACTTAGTAACTTGGAATTATGTACCATATGGTTGGAGGCCCCTGTGTCTACTATCCAGTTACTATTAACTAGATGAGACATGAAGGCTTTTATAGTACCTGTGTTATTCATAGTTGCTGCATTTGCCACTGATTCTACCCGCTTGCCTTTGTTCAGCATATGTAGGATCTGATCATATTGTTCTTGAGTAAACATTAGAGCAAGGGAAAATTGAGGAGTAGGTTGTGAAGTTTGTTGAGGAGTAGGTTGAGGAAGGTCAAAAGGTTGAAATCCTCTAGCAGTAAATGCATTGTTCACCTGAGGACCTGAGTAACCCCTTCTCTTGGCCTTGAAATCAGTAGGGTATCCATGGAGTTTATAATAAGTGTCCTTGGTATAACCTTTCAAGTGACAGTAGTCACATTGTAGTGTAGGTCTCTCAAGACTATTTCTAGGTTTGAAGCTGTTGTTTCCAATTCCTAAGTTAGCTTTACTCATCAGTGTTGTTGAATCACCAATGCCATCACTTAAAGCTGCATTGTTTTTCCTTTGACTCTCAACATTAACTACCATAGCATATGCCTGGTTAACATTTGGAAGTGGTCGAATCATGAGGATCTAATCTTTAGCATTGTCAAAAGAATCATTTAAACCAGTCAAAAACTGATACAATTTCACAATACTCAGTAAATTTGGAGCTACAATGTTCATTATCCATGCTAAAACAATAGCATTACATCGATCCCAAAGTTCATGAAGACTTGGATCATAAAGCTCTTTCCTACAGGTTCCTACCACAAAATCTAACTTGTTTTTGCCATGCAACACAATTTTTATAGATCTACTCCAAAAAGAGTAGTTTTCAGATCCTCGAAGCTGAATCGAGATGAGAACAACACCTTGAGTATCAGAAGGATGAATATAAAAAGGATGATTGTGATGAACCAAGTCAATATTCTGAGTATCAGATGTAGGTGATGTAACAATGGTCGAAGTAGACTCATTTTATTTAATCGCCATACTAATTTTGTAGACTTGTAGATTGAAGAGAATTACTTACTCAAATTGTTGTAAAAGTTTAGAAAAGTTGGTAAATTTGCTCAAAATCAGCAAACCCTAACTAGAAGAAGAGATTGTGTCTTCAACTGCAATTTGAACCAGATGAAACTGATTCTAGATTCGACTAGCTCAATTGTATATTCTCCTTACTCGTCCGCCATTGTTGAATCCACCGGAATTAAGCCGTAGCTCTGATACCATGTTAAGAGAGGCATAGCCATTGAAGGAACAGAGAGAACAGAGAAAGGAAGAAGAAAGTAATAGAGCAGAGTTTGGAAAATATCAAATCTGTTTCTTCATGTACTGTACATGTGTGTATATATATATATATATATATATATATATATATATATACATACATCACTTAAACACTAATATATTAGTTGTTGACAGCTGTACATGTGGCCCACTAACTAATTTCTAACATCCTAACTAACCTTTACACTATGCATTCTTCTCAACATATTTCATATTCATTCTCCCTCTTCACCAGCAGAACATGGGAACCTTCAGGGAAATTAGAGAGTTTTAGACTTGTGAATTGTACCCAGTAGACGGAAACAGGGTTGAAGTCACCTAGTTGTTGTATTTTTTGTCTTAGGTCCTTCCACAAGATCTGAACTAGTGAAACCAAGAATTGACAATATATTTGAATTTCATGTTCCATTGAGTCAAGAAGCTAGAATTCTGAAATCAGTGTCACAATCAGAAGCAGTATCTGGTAATGTGCGTGCAAATGTAATTTTTTTTTGTAATTAAAGACATTTATTTAAAGTAAATATACTTAAGAGTCATTACAACATGAGATTTGCCTAGGCCACATGGTGCCTATTCCATCTCTATCAAAAATAGAAATAGCAAAAGCGGGAGGAAATGAGTACAACATTAAGTTTTCAAACATCCAGTCTGCATCCATTTTTAGCTAACTGGTCCGCCACTCCATTAGCTTCTCTGAATGCATGCTTTATTTGTGGAGTTCCCGCCTCAGTCAATAAGGACCTGCAATCATCAATGACATTTTGATAAAGGCAATTGTCATTTGTGATCATGTTGATAAGATCCTTACAATCGGTTTCGATGACCAGAGGAGTTAGTCTTTCTTGGATGAAATCTACCCACTAATAATTACTAATTATTGTTTTGGAGGTTCGTCGAAGAGTAGAATGTTTTCTGGAGGGAGGAAGTATAAACTAAATATGGATTCATGAGCTGGATGATTATTTTTTTATTCTAAATATTAATACACGATGATTCTTTTTATTTATTTATTTTGTAACAGTCAATTTGTACACATCTCGACTATTTATCCGGTATATGTTATCTTCAATCACTACAAATGATTCTTTCGATGAGGAGGTTAATTATTACAGAGTAGATCTATTTAGATGTATAGGTTAGACTAAAGAAGGCATAATCCTTCGACTAGAAAGTTGTGATGAAATCTTTGCAAGCTCTAAATAATCTATGAAATCTATGTAATAATTCATAATGGAATAACCTTTTCTTAATAACCTTCGTAATTCGTAATAGAATAACCTGGGGATAAGTGGAACCGAAATTCATGCACACGCGCATACACACACAACCAAAAAAAATAACACCGTATAGCCGCTATAGCTGACAAAATGTAAAAGCTTTTTATATATATATATATATATATACACATACATACTCTGTATGTTATATACTCTGTATGTTATATACAAAAATTATACAAATTTTATCCACTTTTTCGGCTACCAGATGTAATTAGTTTCTGACGCGGGCTAAAAGTGATAATACCCACACACAAAAAAACATAGACATCTATAGGTAAATATTTTGATATACTAATTCCGATTATGTTTTGCCATTTACACTATATTTTGTATTAGCATACTTGATACTTTCCTCCTTTCCCCAAAGTAAAAATTCCAAATAATGCTAAGTGTTACCCCTAATGTTGAGACGTGACGGATGTCAGGTAGAACCAATGTCAAGGGCTTGTACATTGCCCCTTGGCATGGGTTCGTGCGGGCGTTGGAAAGCAATGTGCGGAGCTGGGAGTGTGCCTAAGTTAGTGCATGGACTTGCGCAGGTCATCTAGACAAGGCGTCTTGAGTGATGGCAAGGCAGCCTTGATTGTGGGCGACGACTATGGCAAATGAAGGCGCATGGCACTTGGCTAAGGCATGCGCGCGGATCAGTAGGACGGCAAAGGTTGTGTCATGAGCTAATGGGCAAGGCATGGTCCAAAAATAAGGCAAGGCAAGCTGAAGACCAAGTGTGGGCAAAGTGTGGGCAAAGCTATGGAACAAGTGTGCAAATCATGTGACTGTGAAGAAGAGTGTTGTGCATGCGTTGTGGAAGTTTAGCCATGTGCAGTGCACATGTTGCAGTTGGCCAAAGTGCGGAAGATGGGTTCATTTCGTGGGAAGATGGATTCAAAACGTGGCTAAGTGTTTATGTTTGTTTTTTAGGCTTGGCATGTGCCAAGCACACTATTGTAACTGCCCCTTGTAATCTGCCATAGGCAACCCCTTTATATGTGTTGTATTTCATTGGTTTAAGGCAAGTAAGCATATGTGAGCCTTCCAACAGAGAGTCCTTTCTATATTCTGCAAGAATAAATAAAAGGTTGTGTTTTACTCGTACTTATGTGTGTTGCTTACGTTTTACAAGTCTTAAATAATTTTAAGTGTCAAACTGTGTGTGAAAAAAGTAAGACTGAGTGGCTTGAGAGTCAGGTTGCTGCCGTGCAGTGCTGGTTGTGAAATATTAGCCCTATAACAAATTACGGGGGTGATTTATGTCACTCGAATTCTGCCCGAGGTTCACCACCGTGCGGCAGTCAAGCCCAACCTTGACTTCAGCCTTTCCAACACTTAGAATTATTTTAGGACGTTATAGGACTTAGAATAAATTTAGGCAGCAAGAAAAGTAAAGGCACACACGAAATTTACAGGAATCTCTTCCCAACTCGTATCAATATGTGAATACAAGAACACAATAAGCCAACCATATGGCCATGAACAAAGAACACCCTAGTTCCCTGCCCCGAAATGATTTTCCCACCCTACACGTTTTTGGCTTAACAAATTGCCACAAGACTAAGTTCTACACTTCTACCCCTTTGGGACAGCGTTATGCACATATTTATAGTGCAGGCTGCCCAATTACACTTGGCAGCATTTTAGACAATTAGTTGACAAGCTCCCACTGATGAGCAAACATAGGGAACAGGCTAAAAATGTGTATCACTAAGCCACACAATCAGCCATGGTCTAAAAACGTGCCTCCACTTAGCCCCATGATCAATCATGCTTGAATGGGGCAGTTGTAACTGCTCAACCGCCCTGTCATGTGCCCTGCATGTGCTTGTTTTGGCCAGCTGCTGCACGCCCAAGGCTGGCATTGTGCTCGGCCTTGCCCTTTGACACTGCTCCGCCCCAATGTCATGACCACAGCTTGCCGCATATTGACTTAGCCGCACACGCCCATTGCCACAGCTGCCCGCCTATGTCAAGTCGCCCTCAATTGATCAAATCTACCCATGTTAATGTCATTGCTTGCAGATTTGGCGGGTGTATTTGCTGGGAACTAAAATCGTTGTGAGAACGAATAATGTGGCTAATACATTTTTCAAGACACAGAAAAAGCTAAGTCCAAAGCAGGCATTGTTGGCAAGAGTTCTTGGCAGAATATAATTTTATTTGCAAGCACAAGCCGGGAAAACACAACCACGTTGCGGATGCATTGAGCCAGAAAGAGGTATTTGCTGCTGTTTATTCCATTTCTCGACTTGAATATGATTTTCTTGATAAAATCAAGTCGTGTGCTGCTAATGATCCATTGTACATCAAAATAATGAATCATGTGAGAGAAGGGACGGTAAGGAGGTACTGGATTGAGGACGCTCTCCTCTATTTTAAAGGGGAGAGAATCGTGGTGCCACTTGGTGACGGGTTACATCGTGAACTGTTGAAAGAGACGCATGATACTCTATGGGCTGGTCATCCGGGAATTGAGAGGATGATGGCTCTTCTGTCCCGATACTACTTTTGGCCCAAGATGGAGCATGACGTGGAAGCCTATATCATACTCGGATGGCGCCAAAAGAGTTGGCTGAATTGCGGAAACAATTGAATGAGTTGCTCGATGCGGGACTGATTCAGCCATCAAAAGCTCCGTTTGGTGCACCTGTTTTATTCTAAAAGAAACAGGATGGGACGCTTCGGATGTGTGTTGATTATTGGGCGTTGAACAAAGTGAGTGAAGAACAAATATTCGGTTCTGTGGGTGCAAGACTTGATGGATAGATTAAGCAAGGCTTGTTGGTTCACAAAGCTTGATTTAAGGTCTGATTATTGGCAGGTACGGATAGCTGAAGGTGATAAGTCTAAAACTACATGTTTAACGAGGTATGGCTCATATGAATTCCTTGTTATGCAGTTCGGTTGACAAATGCCCTTGATACTTTTTGCAACCTGATTAATGATGTGATGTATGAATACTTGGATGACTTTGTTATTGTCTATTTAGACGACATTGTTATCTATAGTCTGACCTTGGATGAACATATGTCACACTTGATTAAGGTGTTGTCTCGTTTAAGGGAGTACCAGCTTTATGTGAAGATGGAAAAGTGTGAGTTTGCTAGACAGGGGATCAAACTTCTTGGGCACTTGGTGAGCCAAAATCAAGTGAGGATGGACCCAAAAAAGGTGCAGGTCATTGTGGAATGGCAGGCGCCTAATTCTATGAAAGAGTTGAGATCTTTCCTTGGATTAGCAAATTATTATCGGAAATTCATTGCTGGCTATTCAAAGAAAGTTGCTCCTTTGACTGATTTGTTGAAGAAGAATGCTAGGTGGACATGGTCTGAAAAATACAGTGGTGCATTTGATACGCTGAAAGAAGTTATTGCCTCTGAACCTATCTTGCGGCTTCTAGATTTTGAACTGCCATTTGAAGTTCATATTGATGCTTCCGACAAGGCTGTTGGTGGTGTGTTGTTACAAGAAGGCCACCCAGTGGCATTTGAAAGTAGGAAACTGAATGAAGCGGAGCCAAGATATTCGGCTCATGAAAAAGAAATGGTTGCTGATTGCTTGCAGATTTGGCAGTGTATTTGCAAGGAACTAAATTCGTTGTGAGGACGGATAATGTGGCTAATACATTTTTCAAGACACAGAAAAAGCTTATTCCGAATCAGGCACGTT